GAAGGTTATGAGTTCAGTGTTGGACATGCAGAGTTTGGAGTACGTTTGTGACAACTAAGTAGGCAGATGAATGTATACACAGCTTTGGAACCTGTATGAGAGCTTTTGGCTGGATATATAAATTTATGAATTTTATACATAAAGGTAACAAAGTCATGGTTATGCTTTTACATAGGGAGTAATGATTTTATGTTGGGAAGAGAAGGGGGCCTAAAACCAAGTTTTGAAGAACTCAGGCATTTAATGGCTTGGTAAAGGAAGCACTATGAAAAGGATACTTAGAAGAACTGAACAGAAGTGTAGGAGGAAAACTAGGAAAAGGACAGTCAAGGAAAAATATTGTTAAAAAAAATTGATTGGATCACAGTGTCAAATTTCCCTAAGACATCAAAGAAGATGAAGACTAAAAAATGTCCTCTTTGTGTTTGGGTTTAGTAACATGGATGTCATTGGTGACTTTAGTATGAACCACACAGTGGAATGGAGATGTGGTAACTAGATTAGAATGAATGGAAGAATGACTAGGATGTGAGCAAATGGAGTACAAGTATAGATAACACTTGGGAGAAGTTTTTCTACGAAGCAGACGATGGAGATAGGTCATTATTTACTTGGAGGATATGGGATAGAAGGAGGTTTTTATTAAATGGGAAAAACGTAAGCATGTTTAAACTCATGAGAATGGTCTATGTGGGAGTGGATATATAAGGAATAATGAAAAAGTGAGTTCCCAGGGAGGCCTGGGGGAAAATAAGATCCAAAGCATCAAGGGATTAGCTTTACATGGGAGGCAGACCTCACCTCAACCCTAGGTAAAAGGTTGGGTTGGGGAAACCACTTGGGATGGACACAGATACACATAGGTTTCTATGTGTGGTAGCAGGAAGTTGAGGGAGCTCTTGTCTCGTGACTTCTATTTTGTCTATAAGGTATTATTAGCTGTGGTCACGTTCTGAGGGTTAGTTGGGGTGGGTAATGGGTGTTGGATTATAAGACCCTCTGAAGTTTGAGGAAATAACTTGCTGTTGAGAGGGAAGAATGAGCTATTAAAAGAAGTATATTAACCCATGGCACATTTCAACTTCATGCTTCAGCCATGTTGAACTTCTTTTAATTACTACCACCTACCATGTGCTCCTTCTTAGCTGAGCTTTTGCCTGTGTCATTACCTCTGCCTGGACCACTCTTTTTGCCTCATTCATCTTATGATTCCTTACTCATTCTTCAGGTCTCAATTTAGATACCACATCCTTTAAAAAGCCTGACTTCTATAGTGAACGAGAAGAGGTTAAGTGACCTAGGTATGTGCTTCTATGGCCACTGTTACCTTCTTTACCATAGTCCATGTTGTTGTGGTTACTTGTCTAAATTACCATGTCCCAATTAAGAGGTAAGCTCTGTGAGGTCAGGGACTACTTGGTTAGGAATGATAATAACATGGTTAGCCATAACCTGTAGCACAGAGCCTGCCACATAATAGGTGCTTAAGATACACAGTTGCTGAATGAATGCGGTGAACTCACTGTGACAAGGGAACTGGTCACATGACTAGAAGGAGGGTGGGACTCTTAATAGTGATATGTCTGGATGAAAGGTGTAATCTTTACGAGGTGCTATTCCATTAACTCAGACACTGGCCACTTTGCAGCTGAGGCATGAAGGAAAACATGAAAGAGAGGTAAGACTAGGATTTTTCTCTCCTGGTGCCTAGTGCTGGAGGGAGTGCTGACCTATGTATTCCCCAGCTGTTCTAATAACCTGATAGTGCTGAAAGGGGGGCACTGGTGGCAAAGAAAACCACCCTTCTGAATGAGGCACTCTAATTTGCATAGGACCAAATGTGGCCATGAGTCTTGGTGGCTGATTTCAACTCTGTTATTTAATGTTGCTCATTATTTCAGCAACCTGAGAATAACAGCTGGACTGTGTGGGATGAAAGCAACTTTTCAATGCAGGCAAACAGATCACGGCAGTTCTCTTGGAGAAATATTGCTTGTTAATTTGCAAAAATAAATCCCCTTTTTTTGTCCTCATTCTTAAAAAAATGCCAAGTTGCAAGATATGCACATGCATGTGTACATAAGATGAGGCAAGGACAAATTTAAACTAGAGGAAATGCTTTACAGCTAGGCTGCCTCCTTCTCCCCCAAAGGCCGATAAACTACAAATGCCATTTAGGCACTGGATTTACGGTTACTTTCGTGTATGCCCTGAAAATTCACTTATCTTCAGGGGTTACTAGTTCATGGGGAAAACAAGTTAGTACTGAGAAGTTCAATTACTCTCCTAAAATATCAGTAGCTTAGCAGTAAGAAAGCAAAACAACAGGTGCCTTTTTATATTAGATATATTCTCAAGACATCTGTAAAGGCTGGCTATAAACAGCAAGAAAGTAATAGTGGTAAATGTTACTCATTGGGAAGTTTTGGGGATGGAGGTCCTTTTTCCCAGTCTCCAGTTTGAATCTGCGACTGGTGTTCCATCATTTCACAGCATGGGTTTCTCTGCCAATGTATTGCTTTCCTTTTGTTGAATTATGGCTGTTATTTTTTCACAATGGTTGAGACATTTTCAAGGTCTTCATATAGGACTTCGGTTTTCTCTTGTTTCTGGAGTAACTTGTCTTCCTTTGGAAGACCCAACTTTGTGCTTTCGGGAGAGCACCTGCTAAGCTGGGGATTTTAGTGTTTCCTGATCTGCTTTAGCCCTCCTCAGCAGCACAGTAATGTAATCAGCTGAAGAATCTCCCAGGAGGGCTGCATTGTTAGAGTTTCTCTTTCAGTCTAAGCTATTTAATAAATGTACTTTAGGAGTATGGGGTTGATTATTGAACTACTTTCTTTGAAGATATCTGCCTTCTCCATGTGATAGCTCCTAAGAGAGTTTAGACTATGGTGAGAACTAATGTCTTGAGGTCACTTGTTTCACAGGAAGGCAAAGTATCTGATAAAAGAGCTTGGCTTTGGAGAAGGTCTGACTTTGAGAATACATGGGTATTCTCCATGGCTGAAAGAAATAGATTCATGATATAAGAAAGGACGCTGAGTGTTTCCATTAATTTATTTTATATTTGAAAATAGAAAGCGAAGAAAGCTGTGGCAAGTCATACATGTTATCTGTTATGCAGTGACACAAAACTCTTATATTTGAAAGAAATTCTTGACCCCAAAGGCAGTTCTACATAGCATGTCCTGATTTATAACGTATATATAAAGAAAAGGTGGTATGTCGTAGTGGATGAGAAGGGGATTTTGTAGTTAGAGGTCTCGGGTCTAGCTATTTGGCCTTGGGTTAGCCATTTGGTTCCCTTAAACCTGTGTTTCCTCATCTTTAAAATGGAGAAAATAGTGTGCAACTTATAGGGTTGTTTTAAGTATCAAATGAGATCAGGCAATTAAATGAAAGATCATACATGTTGCCTGACAATAAGTGCTTAATAATTGTTAATATAATTTAACAGAACTTTTTTCAGGTTCATAGTCACTTTATTTCATAGCTCAGGGAGCTACCAGGCATGTGCATGTGGTATATTTTATGTAGAGCACAGCTTGGTTTTCTTTCTCATTTCTTTGCTTCTAGTGACATTACTGCATAAGCTTCTCACAACTATTGTGAATCTTCATGAGGTTATCGGACTTTTCCTTTTTACACTAAATGTGTGGAGTTATCTTTTAGATTTTCATGGAGAAGAGTCACTGGTTTGGCCTGGAGTACACTGTTTACCAGGACAGATTTCTAGGGGGTGCCTCTGGACCACCCCCTAGAAAGAATAAACTGGTTATTTTCTACAGAAGTGACCTTGTCTAGGATGGAAAGTAAGTATATTTTTTTTCAATAAGCAAATGAAAATACAGATGGTATACATCATTTTTTCATTAAATTAAAAATAATGATGAGAGAACTATAAAGATTTTTAAGAACTTGCTTTTTATGAACAAAACATATTTGTTCTATTTTTTTCTTTCCAGCTTTTATTTTAGGTTCAAGGGATATATATGCAGGTGTGTTCCATGGGTAAATTGTGTGTTATGGGGGTTTGGTGTACAGATAATTGTCACCCAGGTAATCAGCATAATACCCAATAGGTTGCTCTTCAATCCTCACCCTCCTCCAACTCTCCATCCTCATGTAGGCCCTGGTGTCTGTTGTTCCCTTCTTGTGTTCATATGTATTCTATGTTTGGCTCCCACTTATGAGTGAGAACATGTGGTATTTGGTTTTCTGTTTCTGTGCTAATTCACTTAGGATAATGGCCTCCAGTTCCATTCATGTTGCTGCAGAAGACATGATCTCATTCTTTTTTATGGCTGCATAGTATTTCATGATGTATATGTACCATGTTTTCTTTATCCATTCAGTCCACCATTGATGGGTATGTAGGTTGATTCCATGTCTTTGCTATTGTGAATTGTGCTTCAGTGAACATACATGTGCATGTGTCTTTATAGTAGAACAATTTATATTCCTTTGGGTATATACACAGTAATGGGATTGCTGGGTCGAATGGTAGCTCTATTTTAGGTTTTTTGGGAAATCCCAAGACTGCTTTTCACAGTGGCTGAACTATTTACATTCCCACCAGCAGTATATAAGCATTTACTTTTCTCTACAATTTTGCCAGCATCTGTTATTTTTTGACTTTTTAATAATAGTCATTCTTACTGGAGTAAGATGGTATCTCCTTTTAGTTTTGATTTGCATTTCTCTAATGATTAGTGATGTTAAGCATTTTTGTTACTTGTTGGTTGCATGTATGTCTTCCTTTGAGAAGTGTCTGTTTATGTCCTTTGCCCATTTTTTTTTTTCTGTTTGATTTGGTTTGGCTCTGTGTCCCCACCCAAATCTCATCTTGTAGCTCCCGTTAATTCTCACATGTTGTGGGAGGGACCAGTGGGAGATGACAGAATCATGGCGGCAGGTATTTGCTGTTCTGGTCTCATGATAGTGAATGGGTCTTACGAGATCTGATGGTTTTAAAAATGGGAGTTTCCCTGCACAAGCTTTCTCTTTGCCTATTGCCATTCACGTAAGATGTGACTGGCTCCTCCTTGCCTTCTGCCATGATTGTGAGGCTTCCTCGGCATGTGGAACTGTAAGTCCAATAAACCTCTTTCTTTTGTAAATTGCCCAGTCTTGGGTATGTCTTTATCAGCAGCATAAAAATGGATGAATACACCATTTTTTCAACTTTTATTTTAGATTCAGGAATACGTGTGCATGTTTGTAACCTGGCTATATTGCATGATGTTCAGGTTTGGGGTATGGATCCCGTCACCAAGGTAGTGAGGATAGACCCCAGTAGGTAAGTTTTTTTTAACCCTGGCCCCACTTGCTCCCTTCCTAATATCTGTTGTTGCCATCTTTATGTCCATGAGTACCCAATGATTAGCTCCCACTTATAAGTGAAAACATGTGGTATTTGGTTTTTGGTTCCTACACTAATTCAGTTAGGATAGTGACTACAAATGACATTCATTTTCATGGCTGCATCCTTTGCCTGTTTTAAATTTCCTAATACATTTAAGTTCCTTATAGATGCTGGATATTAGATCTTTGTTGGATGTATAGTTTAAAAATATTTTCTCCCATCCTGTAAGTTATTTACTGTTTTCTCCCATTTTATATGTTGTTTACTCTGTTGATAGTTTCTTTTGTTGTGCCAAAGCTCTTTAGTCTGATTAGGTTCCACTTGTTAATTTTTGTTTTTGTTGCAGTTGCTTTGGAGTATTCATCATGAAGTCTTTGCCAGAGCCTATGTCCAGAATGGTATTTCCTAGGTTTTCTTCTGGGGTTTTTATGGTGTTAGTTTGTACAGGTAAGTCTTTAATCCATCTTTAGTTGATTTTTGTATATGCCGAAAGATAGGGACGCAGTTTCAGTCTTCTGTATATGGCTAGCCAGTTATCCCAGCACCATTTATTAAATGGGGAGTCCTTTCCCCATTGCTTGTTACTGTTGGCTTTGTTGAAGATCAGATGGTTGTAGGTATGTGGTTTTATTTCTAGGTCCTGCGGCCTGTTCCATTGGCATATGTATATGTTTTTATATCAGGACCATGCTATTTTATTTACTGTAGTAGCCTGGTAGTATAGTTTGAAGTTGAGTAGTGTGATGCCTCCAGCTTTGTTCTTTTTGGTTGGAATTGCTTTGACTAGTTGGGATCTTTATTGGTTCCAGATGATTTTAGAATAGTATTTTTCCAATTCTTTGAAAAATGTAATTGGTAGTTTGATAGGAACAGCAGTGAATCTGTATGTGGCTTTGGGCAGTATGGCCATTTTAAGAATATTGACTCTTTGTATCCATGAACATGGAATGGTTTTCCATTTGTCATCTCTGATTTCTTTTAGCAGTGCTTAAAAATTTTTTTTTTTTACTTTCATTTTGGATGTTTGAAAGTAAAGTTTCTTAACTGTTTACATCAAAAATAAATTCATGTTTTTATCTAAAATAATGCTTTATTAAAATTACAAAATTATCAAAAGTGTTGACAGTAATTCAGTTAGCATGTACCCTCCTATAAAGCAATGGCATAGTATAGAATGCTTGTCTATTTAGCCTTTCCTAAAATTAAAAACAAAATTGTTTTTAAAAATAAAATGTACTTTTTACAGGTAAAATACTTAATATAAATTTAGAAATCAAAGATAAGACAAATATATATGATATGTATATTTATGACATATATTTATACTCAGAAAATTGATCAGAGAAAACCATTTTCAACATATCATTGTTTTTCTACCCAACTAATATTTTTATGTATGTATGCATATACATACACCCATATGTTCTTTTTTTAATTGTACTTTAAGTTCCGGGGTACATGTGCAGATCTTGCAGGTTTGTTGCATAGGTATACACATGCCATGGTGGTTTGCTGTCTCCATCGCCCCATCACCTACATCAGGCATTTATCCCATTGTTATCCCTCCCCAACCTCCCTGCCCCCCCTTGTCCCTTCCCTAGCCCCCCAACCCCCAACATACCCCAGTGTGTGATGGTTCCCTCCCTGTGCCCATGTGTTCTCATTGTTCAACATCCACCTATGAGTGAGAACATGCAGTGTTTAGTTTTCTGTTCTTGTGTCAGTTTGCTGAGAATGATGGTTTCCAGATTCATCCATATTCCTACAAAGGACATGAACTCATCACTTTTTATGGCTGCATAGTATTCCGTGGTGTATATGTGCCACATTTTCTTTGTCCAGTCTTTCATTGATGGGCATTTGGGTTGGTTCCGGGTCTTTGCTATTGTAAACAGTGAGCACTGCTTTTTAATTCTCATTGTAGAGCTCTTTTACCTCGTGGTTAGCTGTATTCCTAGGTATTCTATTCTTTTTGTGGCTACTGTGAATAAGATTGTGTTCTTGATTTGGCTCTTGGTTTGGATGTTATTGGTATATAGAAATGCTAGTGATTTTTATGCACTGATTTTGTATCCTGAAACTTTGCTGAAGCTGTTTATCAGATCTTGGAGCCTTTGGGCAGAGACTATGGGGTTTTCTAGTTTAGAATCATATTGTCAATGAAGAGAGATAGTTTGACTTTGTCTCTTCCTATTTGGATGACTTTTATTTCTTTCTCTTGCCTGACTGCTCTGGCTGGGAATTCCAGTACTATGTTGAATAGGAGTAGTGAGAGCAGGCATCCTTGTCTTGTGCCAGCTCTCAAGGGAAATACTTCCATCTTTTTTCCCATTCAGTATGATATTGGCTGTGGGTTTGTCATAGATAGCTCTTAGCACTTTGAGGTGTGTTCCTCTGATGTCTAGTTTGTTGATTGTTTTTTAATATGGAGGGATATTGAATTTTATCAAAAACTTTTTCTGCAGCTATTGAGATGATCATGTGTTTTTTATTTTTAATTCTGTCTATGTAATGAATCGCATTTATTGACTTGCATATGTTGAACCAATCTTGTATCCAGGAATAAAGCCTGCTTGATCATAATAGATTAGCTTTTTGATGTGCTGCTGCATTCAGTTTGCTAGTATGTTGTTCAGAATTTTTGCATCTATGTTCATGAGGGATATTGGCCTGATGTTTTCTTTTTTGCTGTGTGTTTCTGCCAGGTTTTGGTATCAGAATGATGCTGGCCTCATAAAATGAGATAGTGAGGAATTCCTCCCCCTCAATTTTTTGATTTAGTTTCCATAGTATTAGTACTAGCTCTTCTTTGTATGTCTAGAAGATTTTGTCTGTGAATCCATCCAGTTCAGGATTTTTTCTTGTTGGTGGGTATTTATTTATTTATTTATTTATTTTTATTACTGATTCAATTTCAGAACTCATTTTTGGTCTGTTCAGGGTTTCAATTTCTTTCCAGTTCAATCTTGGGAGATTGTATATTTCTAGGAATTAATTCATTTCTTCCAGGTTTTCTAGTTTGTGTGTATAGAGGTGTTTGTAATAGTCTTGGAGGGGTTTTTTTTCTTGCATTTCTTTGGTGTCAGTGGTAATGTCCCCTTTGTCATTTCTCATTGTGTTTATTTGGATCTTCTTTTTCCTTTTTTTTTTCTTTATTGGTCTAGCAAGCAGCCTATCAATCTTATTTATTCTTTCAAAAAATGAACTTTTGGTTTTGTTGATCTTTTGTATCATTTTTCTCATCTCCATTTCATTCAGTTCTGCTCTGATTTGGTTATTTCTTTACTTTTGCTAGCTTTGGGGTTGGTTTGCTCTTGTTTTTCTAGTTACTCTAGGTGTGATGTTAGGTAAAATTTAACAGAATTTTTTTGCTATGTTTTCCAGCCATCTTCCATGGAAAATACATGCAGTTATATAAAAAGGTCTTTGTTCTGCTGCATATTTTGCTAGTTTGGGTAAGCAAGGCTGGGATTAGAGATGGGGAGAATGGAATTCCTCTGCCCATCCCATTTCTCTTACTGTCTTCCTACTTTGTTTTATTGATTTTCATAGCACTTCTCACTGCCTATTGAGGTTGAATGGTGCCTTCTCTAAAAGACATGTTGAAATATGTGTCAGTTTGCTCAGGTTGCCATAACAAGTATCACAGACTGGGCAGCTTAAACAACAGAAATTAATTTTTTCATAGTTCTGGAGACTAGGAAGGTCAAAATCAAGATTTTGGGAAGGTTGGTTGCTTCTGAACTTGTCTCCATGGCTTATAGATGGCCATCTTCTTCCTGTGTCTATCTGTGCCCTATTCTCTTCTTATAATGAATATCAGTCATATTTCATTAGGGCCCACCCCCAATAGCCTCTTTTAACCTTAATTGCCTCCTTAAAGACTGTCTTCAAATATGGTGATATTCTGAGGTACTGAAGGTCAGAATTTCAACATATGAATTTGCCCCATAATAAAGTCCTAACCTCTGGTACCTGTGAATGTGATCTTACTTAGAAATAGGGTCTTTGCAGATGTAATCAAATTAAGGTGAAGTTATACTGGATTAGGGTGGGCCCTAAATCCAATGACTGATGTCATTAAGAAGAGAGAGTGATACAGAGGAGACATACATGGACGAAGGCCATGTGAAGATAGAGACAGAGATTGTAGTTATGCTGTCATAAGCCAAAGAATGCCAAAAAAAAAAGTTGTAAGGCACCACCAGATGCTAGAAGCAGCAAGGAAAGATTTTTCTTAGAGCCATCAGAGGGAACATGGCCCTGCTGACATCTTGATTTTGGACTTTCAGTTTCCAGAACTGTGCAAGGAAAAATTTCTGTTGTTTTAAGCCATAGTTTGTGGTAATTTGTTACAGCAGCCCTAGGTAACTAACACTCTACTTGACATTATATATTTGATAAATATCTTCTGTGTCCTCCACTAGAACATAAACTGTATGAGGACAGGCATTTGCCTATATTGGTCACTGTTGTAATGTCAGCGTAGTGGATATTTACTGAATGAATGAATGAATGAATGAGAGCAATCTTGAAGGAAGCAGGGAGGAGCAGAGGTGGCAGAAGAAAAAAGGGGAGTATATAAACATGAGTATAAAATATACTAACCTACCAAGTGGGCTTCTGGTGGGAGGAGGTGAAGGGGTTGAGTCCCCTGTCCAGTTTGATGTGGCAAGAATTAGATATAAAATATGGAAATATGGGCTGGAGGAACCCTGGAAACATAAACCCTAGTAAGCAGAAATTG